AGAACCCAAGTGCAGTTTATTTACAGTGTGATCAAACATCCAAACAATAATCCGAGACTTGACTTGACATGAACAGACTTGACGTGGCATGAACAGACTAGACTCACCAACAGCGGGATAAATACATTCAATACACGACGACAGACAATGGCAACATGATGGCTACTTATAGGAAACAAGAGGGTCACATGACAAAAATAAACCAATGGGAAACAAGACACATGACTAAGACAACCAATCAGAACATGACACATACACAAGGCAGAGACACATGAGGGCAAGGGAAGCATGACACAAACAGCATAAAACAATTACAAAATAAAAGACATGGAAACATGAACAAGACAAAACCCAAACACCACATTACAGATTTATGCACCAAAACAAGACAACATGGAGACAAGAGAGTGTGATGTAAAGTCCTTGTTGAATTTGCTGTATAAAAATATGACACACAATAAAGATATTCTTCTAAGATCATATGTAAGATATTAAGCCTAAAAATTGACATTTCTAAACTTGATTCTGGCATTTGATTAATGACATTATTATTATTATTATTATTATGAAATGTACACTTGAAATGTATACTATTTCAAATAAATGCTGTTTGTGATGAGTGGGGCAGGGCCGAGTGCAGTGGGAATGGCGCCGACTCCTCCGCTCCCTCTTGGACGGCAGCCACCCCTTCTCGGCCTAGGAGTGCGGCAGCGAGCCCTCCGTCCAACCTCGTCTTCCATCGTTCCAGCACCACCACCTCGGGCAGCCACCGGTGGTCTCCGCTTCTTCCTGCTGCCCGATCTCCTCAGCACCGCGATCCCCCTCAGCAGCAAGGGCTCTCTGACAGCGTGTCCCTCCTTCCTCCCGGGTTTCGGCACCAATGTAACAAAGTTCGTAGTCACGGGAAGAAGGAGGTGGGAACCGGTGAACATTTAAACATAATTTAATAACAAAATAAACAAAACTGAAAATAGCGCGACAGCCCCTCACGGACGACTGCCGCACGCAAACAGAACCAAAACAACAAATAGTCATAGGCCTGGTCCTCTCTCGTCCAACACTGTTGTCACTCCTCTTTTTATCCTTCTGGAGCTCCTCCGTGGGACTCGAGACCGGTGAGTGGCACAGGTGTCGCTCATTATCATTAACTCCACCGGCCTCGCTCCGTTCCACGGCTCTCGGCCCCACCCCACTCGTCACATGTTTAAAAAAATAATATTGATGCTTAAATCCAAAGAATCGATTAGTCTTGCCTGTTTTCAGTTAATGAACGGAACATTGTAGCAAGCCTCCCATCCAATAAATCACAATAAACTTGTGCTTTGTTACGTTTGTTATCAAACAGAGTCACAGATTTCAAATTCTATTTTAAATTCTATTTACATTCTGAATAAAAATAGAATAAATTCTATTCTATTCTATTTTTGATCAAATTCTATTTGATTTCAAAGTCTATTTTATTACAATAATCAAACTATCCAAATACCATTTTGGCACTGTTTAATGTTGAGTGATAAATCACTGTAGAGCTTCAGTTCAAGAGAAACGGCAGTGCAAAACACACCTGAACTGATTGTCTCCTCCGCTTTAATACCAGTTACAGCATGAAATAAACATGAATGAACATCCGAAGGTTTGTTAAAAGAAAGAGTACAATGATACTGTATATCTGTATAATGTCTCATGTAATCACTGAATCAGTGGTTTAACCACTGATGCACCATCTAAACAAACATCCTTATAACAGCTTGTAAACAATGTCACAATTACCTCAGGAAAAAAAAAAACATATTCAGTGACCATAAATTAAGGTGGCCAGACGTGCCACTTCCCGGGGACACATTCGGCACAGGATTTCTAAATTGCCTAAAATAACCAGGTGTAGGTTGTTTGCGACTGGATCTAAAATCTCTAAACAGCACACTGCCCATTTCTGAGTTACCAGAACCCCACAAAAAAATCTGAACATAGCCTAAGAGTGTATGTGTGTAATGCCTCCAGCATTAGCTCCAGTGAGGCAGCGGTGTTTTGAGTTCAGAGGGATTTTTGACCCAGCTGAGTATAGTCTTGTGACCCAAATCTGAGCATGTGAAAAGCCAAACGGGAGTCAGACCTCATAGGTTGAAGCATGTTTGCTTTACATTTTAATGTTAGGTGATTTGATTTAGGCTAATTGTCATTAGAAAGCTTACATAGAAGTGATTCCTCATAGAAAGAGATCTGTCATTTTAGATCTAGAGATGAAAATACTGAACGTGAGCATTAACCTACATCCCTAATTCACATGTAAAGCCTTTAGCCTCTGTCCAAACAGTCCCATTCACCTTCATGTAGATCCTTCCAGTCAGTTTACAGATCTGTGCTGTTGTTTACATTTCACTTCCTGGTGGTCATGTGACCCACCCACAGCC